TATACAGATCACGGACTCATAAGAATGTATAGCTCAAAACAAACCTCGGTTAGCTAATGTAAAAAGATAAAAGTTCAATGCTTTTAGCTAACCGGTTACAATACACAAAACTTAAATGTTCAAATGTTGAATATGTGTGATTTTTAATTGTATTGCTTAATTTTTAAAATTTGTGATTTTAAGGTAATACACTCTTGGGTAATCATGCAATAACATACAAATATAGCAAGCTAGGACTTAACATTTTTTATTACAATTTACTTATGTGTGTGCACACATTTGTGTTTGTATACGTGTTGGTGTGCACATGACACAGTGCCCATGTGGAGGTCAAGGAACTACTTTTAAGACGGTGCTTCTTCTTCCATGATATGGGAGGGGGGCAGGCCTCTCCTTCCACGAAGTGGGGGGGGGGTGGGGGTGGTAGTGGTGGAAAGTGGGGGATGGGGGTGGGGTGTTGAACAGAAGTAGTCAGGATTGGTGGCTTGGTGGCAAGCACTTTTACCAGCTGGGCTATCTTGCTGGTCCAGCAAGCCAGGATTTTATTTGTTGTTTGTTTATTTATTTATCTTGCTGGCCCAGAAAACCAGGATTTCATCTATTTATTATGTATGTATGTATGTATGTATGTATTGATTAGATCGCACTATGTAGCCCTGGATGGCTTGGAACTCCCAATATAGAATAGGTTGACCTCATAGACATCTGCCTGCCTGTGCTTCCCCAGTATTTGGATTATAGGCATGCACCACCAACACCCGGCCCTAGGTGTTTTGTTTTGAGACAAGATCTTCCTGTAGCTCCATGTGGCCTGGAACTTACTATGTAGACCAGGCTGGCCTCGATCTCATCCACCTGCCTCTGCCTCCCAAGTGCTGGGATTGAAGGCATGCGCCATGCCATCTTGCTTCGCTTTGGGTAGGATTTTAAAATAAGGAACATAAATGCATTGAAGGGGCAACTGGAAAAGGTATGATTTATGAACTTAGGAACTTCAGTGTTTAGATCAGAAAAGAGCTTATTTCCATATTTCCAAAATACTAAAGTGATTCTCTATTTTCCCGGAAAAGTAGTATATTTCAGCAAAACCGTACACCTTGTGCTACTTTGGCCTCTTGGGAGGCATGGGCATATTCAAGTTTTCTAGAATGAGATAATGATCGCTTTTAGTCATACATCTCACGGAAAGTTCTTGGGGTTTTGGTCTAGAGATAAAATGGCGATGGGGGGGGTGAGGTGGGGCTAGGGGAAGCAAAAATACTTCAATTTGAGACCAGAAACCCGCAATGGACGACCTAATTTAAGCCTAGTTGCAGAACTACTGACTTCCAGCTGTGTATTTCTTTATCTACACTTTCCCCACTGATAGCCATAATAAATTTACGAAACAGTTTTAAAATGTATTTCCATGTTTTTTTAAATCAAAGTGATAATTTAAAAAGCATTAGCCAGAATTATATAGCAGATTAGTTAACAAAACAAAACCGAACAATCAATGCCTTCCGAATATTCGTTCTTGCCTATTTTGATGCAAACAAAAGCGGTTGCTTTTTAAAATCTGGCTGTGGTTGAAGACATGCCATTTTCTATGACTTTTCCCACCTCTGGGAAATTATAGGCGAAACCTGTAATTGCTATGTAATAAGCCAAGTGGAACTGTGACGCAATGATCCATTGCAAATTGCCTTACAGAAAAATGTCATTTGGCGTTGATCTACTCACTTTTATAACGGTACCTATGAAAAAGCCCTCTCCCATCCTATCTTGTGCATCTTATCCTAAGATGTGAAAAACGCATTTTTTATGGGTTTCCCAGCCCTCAACCTGTGCATAGTAGGTTCGCCGCAGCGCCCTGGGGCCCGCCTCCCGTGCTGGCGGAGAGAGGCGGCCGCGAGGGGAGGTGCCAGCGTAGCTTCGCCAGCCCCGACGGCCGTGTGGTGAGGGGAGGCTGCATCACGCGGGGCCCGCAGCACCTGGCTACCTCTTTCCCTCAGCGCCCCCTTCACCCCACCGGCTGCTGTGGCCGACCAGACGCATATCTACGCGGCGTGCCAAGGGCGCGGGACAACCCTCCCCTCACCGGGTTCCCACACCCGCTCCCGCTCCGTGGCGCCGGAAGTGACGCGCGCTGGGCTGAAAGATGGCGGCGTTGGCGCCAGACCAGGGGGAAGGTAAACACCCGGCAGGCTGCGCGCTTGGGCCCCTCGGGGCGCTAGCACTGGCTGAGGGCCCTCCCGGGCTTGCTCACCACCAGTGGCTTCCCGCCCTCCGCTCCCCGCCCCCGCTCCAGGCCAGGCCCGCTTCCCGTCCCAGAGACTGCGCCCAGGGTCCCCTGCCTGCTGGCCCCGCCTTCCTGGGCGGGCCCCGGGCGGCTTTCGCGTCCCACAGGGGCGCGAGGCCCCGAGCGGCCCGCGGCTTGTGGCCCTGGAGGCCCCACCCCTTGCCCGCCCCTTTCCCGCCTTCCTCCACCCCCGGCGTGGGTGATCCCGAGGCTCGGCGCGCTTCGGAGCAGAATACTGGAGGCGCCGTCGTCGACGTTGTCGCAACCGGCGCTTCTGCTGTTACCCTAGGCGCCTTAGCCCTCTCCCCGGTCGGTGGCCCTAACTCGACTCTCCCACCGAGCCCCGTGGGGCGCTGTGAGCCCCCCCTCCCCTGGCGTTGGCAAGGCCGGCCGCGGCCCCGACGCCGTGCCGCCTCCCACCTAGCCGGGCTGTTTGGACTCTCCACTCAGCGCTGTCTTCTTTCTCAGGACTGCTTGTGAGGGGGCCGCAGGTTCGCACGCTCGCCCGGTGCCGGAGCGCTCCGGCCCGGCCAGGGAGCGGCCCCTGGTAGACGTTGGAGGAGACGTTTGAGGTCCGTCCCGGCGCCCTACCGCCCCACCGTTCGGCCCGCTGGCCCGCTTCGTCCTGATGCAGACTGCCGTCCACTAGAAGCTGGACAGGACCCCCGAGGTACGTAGCCGTCCCTGGCCGCCGGCCTGCGGAGCCCGGGCTTCGGCCACGGCCCCGAGGAAGGCTCGGGTTCCGGGGCCCTTCGGTACCGACCGGACTCGAACGTTTGGTAGACGCCGGGACCCAATTTGTCTTTGAGTTTACTTAAATTGTTTGAAATGTAAATTTTTTTTTCAGGGGGAGAGAGAGAAAGAGAGAGAGGAAAAAAAAAGGAAGAAGCATAATTCAGCCATTTTTTTGCAGCGCAGAGCTGCAGGTACCATGATTATTTTTCCCCCTAACCCGTCCCTTCCCTTTCAAAACCCTAATTGTGCTTGAAATAGAAGTGTGCGATAAAGCCTGCAATCGGAACGTGTGGGTCCCACTGGGTGACTGGGAAATCGCATAGGGAGCCTCAGCTTCTTATCTCTGCAATGTAGCCAGTGATAGCCACATCGGAGGCTAGTGAGGACTCTCTATGAGGTCATAATTGTGAGAATGATCTCTAGCTGGAAAGTAGAAAACGTAAGGCTGCTTGTGAAGTCACCTCTGCGAGAGTGGTTAATGGAGTGGCTAACTGTTGCTGCCTCTTAATTTCTAGATTATAAGTAAATCAGTACGGAACGGCAATAGAGAGAATAGTCACGTTCCTTGGCTTTTCTCCTAGGAAATAAATGCCAACTGCTTATTTAAATAACGGTGTTCTTTAATGTTCAAATATAATGATACTGTAGGGCTTCACTCTTCATCTTTCTAGGCCGCTGAGGCCCTTTCTCCCTCCGAATATTTAACACCTTACATTTGTTTAGTCTTTTTCCTATCTTCAGACTTTTCTCTTCCTTTGTTAATCTAAGAAGTTGTAACTTAACAAGTGCTTTTTAAACGCCTATGCCCTCATTTTAATGCCTGCTTTTCATATCTAGGGAACAGGATGATTGAATGCTTCTCTACCCATTTGAAAATTGTTTTTGAAAAGCTTGGAAATACAGTCATGTTTCTGTAATTCTTAATAGGTCTAGAAATATACAGGAAATTTCAACTTTTTTTTTCTCTAAATTACTTGTGTAATTTAATTCTTGTTTTTAATCACCACACTCAGTAGGTGCTTTGAGTCCCACTCTGTCAGTGGTAAAAGATGCTAATTTAGACTCTTTACTGCTGGCTAGTTTTGGGGAAAAATAAGACTAAATATTTGTGGTTTGAAAATAGAATTTATTTGCCCCAAATTCAAAAGTGTAGTATGTTTTGGCTTACAAAACAGTCAACAAAAAGTGAAAGAAGTGTCTTGGGGTATATTATTTTTAGTTAATGGTTTTTCCAAGTATTTTTTAACAATGGATTTATCTCTTGTCCTGAAGATAACATTTTGGCAGATCACTGCTTTTTAGGAATTTCAGAGATTGACCCTTTGGGGCTGAAATAATGGAAACAGGGCTGGCTTGATGTCATGGATGTTAAGGGGACCCCGTACTTCGTATAATAATTGGTGTAGACTGGCAATATAAGTGAATGGCAAAATTTGTGCTAATTAACATTTCTAATTTTTATTTACTTAGGACAACATAGATCAACAAATAACACATCATGAAAAGTCGAGATGAGAAAAAGGAAAAAGCCTTGTATTTTTATATCTTTAACATTTTTTTTCTCCTGATGTTGACCTATTCGTCTCCCATAAGTTGGTGGCCCATTTTCAGGTTTGGGCTTTCATATTAGTCCCAGCACTCGGGAGGCAGAGGCAGGAGGGTCTCAGTGAGTTTGAGGCCAGCCTGGTCTATCTACATAGTGAGTTCCAAACCAGCCAAGGCTACATAGTGAGACCCTGTCTCAAATGAAGCAAAAAAAGTTTCATGAGTGAATGTTAAGTGAGGAGAATGAGTCCTGATCTTGGAGTGGGGGTGTATATTAATTTGTTAGCATATGTTTCCTCTGAACTAGCATGCTATAGCTCCTTTGAAAGCTGGCCATTGGTGAAGCATTGTAAGAGTAGTGGTTAATTGGGAAGATGCAGAACTCAGGCAGACCCTAGCTCCACAGTTTATAAATAGTCATAGTCTTGGGCAAGTAGCTTAACCTCATAGTTTTGATTGTGAGAATTGCCATTTGTCTGTTCACCAAGTATTTATCAAGCACTTGTATACTAAGCACTGTTGTAGTTACTGGGGAATTCAACAGAATTTTTCTTTGTTTCAGATTGTCCCCCCGCCCCTCCAGTCTCACTGTAGCCCAGGTTGGCCTCAAACTCAGGGTCATCATCTTGCCTCAGCCATCCATGCGCTGGGATTACATGCTTGGAAACAAAAAGTTAATAAAACCAGACATGGTGGTGCCAGTACTAGGATGTGGAGACAAGAGGATCAGAAGTTCAGGGTCATCCTCAGCAGAAGCCAACCTGGGATATTTGAGACCCAGTCTCCAAAACAAAAAGCTAATAATTTAGTCTACTTCACAAGTATACCATAGAGAAAAATTAAAGCGGAGGATGGAGATGGAGATTGGTTGATGCAGTGGATCAGTTTTACAGTCTTTAAGAGTTTTGGGTAAGGTCTCAATGGGGTTGGACATATCTGGATATAATGAACCAGGTAGGCAGAGAGAATAGGAAAGTAGAAGGTTTAAGGTGGGTGTTTTAATTTTGGAGAGGGGGGTGCTGGATTGAATTCCCTGGGGCCTCACAGATGCCAGGCAAGTGCTCTACCACTGAGCAATATGTTCAGCCTAGAACTTTTAATTTTGGAATAAAGTAGAAAAGGTAAAATATGTTCTTAGCTTTTTCTTTTTTCTTTTTTTTTTCATTACTGGAGGTTGAATCAAGGGCCTTGGGCAATCTAGCAAGCACCCTACTTACGCTATAACCTGAACCCTTCCATTTCAGGGTCATCCTCAGCAGAAGCCAACCTGGGATATTTGAGACCCAGTCTCCAAAACAAAAAGCTAATAATTTAGTCTACTTCACAAGTATACCATAGAGAAAAATTAAAGCGGAGGATGGAGATGGAGATTGGTTGATGCAGTGGATCAGTTTTACAGTCTTTAAGAGTTTTGGGTAAGGTCTCAATGGGGTTGGACATATCTGGATATAATGAACCAGGTAGGCAGAGAGAATAGGAAAGTAGAAGGTTTAAGGTGGGTGTTTTAATTTTGGAGAGGGGGGTGCTGGATTGAATTCCCTGGGGCCTCACAGATGCCAGGCAAGTGCTCTACCACTGAGCAATATGTTCAGCCTAGAACTTTTAATTTTGGAATAAAGAAAGTAGAAAAGGTAAAATATGTTCTTAGCTTTTTCTTTTTTCTTTTTTTTTTCATTACTGGAGGTTGAATCCAGGGTCTTGGGCAATCTAGCAAGCACCCTACCTCAGCTATAACCTGAACCCTTCCATTTTCTTACTCCCCTGTCCCCTCTTTCTTATTCCCTCTTCTTTCTCCTTCCTTCCCACATTCTTCCCTCTCTCCCTTCTTCCCTCCCTCCCCTTTCTTCCCCCTCTTTCCCCTTTCTCCCCCTCTTCTCTTTCTCCTCTCAGTCCCTATCCTCTGTCCCTCTCCCTTCTCACTCTCTCCTCACCTTACTCCCTCTTCATCTCTCCCTCCCCCTCTACTCACTTCCTCTCCTCCCTCTGTCCCCCCCCATTTCTTCTTGCTCCCCCTCACCTCCCTTTTCTCCCTCTCTCCATCCTATTCCTTTGCCTCCTCACTCCTCACTGCCTCCCCCTTTCCCTCTCCTCATTTCCCTTCCTCCCTCCCTCTCCCTTTTCTTTGTGTGCATTTATTTCCTAGCAGGACTGTGGACAGCAGAGGACAACTTGTAAGAGTTGGTTCTCTCCTACTATGTGGGTCCCCAGGATGGAACTCAGGTCATCAGGCTTGGCAGCAAGTACCTTAACTCACTGAGCCATCTCCCCAGCCCAGTTTTCTTAGCTCTGACTGACCTGGAACTAGCCATTTAGGTCAGGTTGGCTTTGAACTCACAGAGATCTACCTGCCCCTGTCTCCTAAGTGTTGGAATTAATAGTGTTCACCATCACACCCACACAGTTTTTGCTTTAAAAAATATATTTTTTAAAATTTATTTTTACTTGTTATGTATGAATGTTTGGCATATATGTTTGTAAGGGTCTGTAGAGGCCAGAAGAAGTTACCAGATCCCCTGGAACTGGAATTACAGAGGGTGTGAACTGCCATGTGCGTGCTGGAAACCAGACCTGGGTCCTCTGCAAGACTAGCAAGTGCTTTCTCTTTTGTAAAAAATCTTTTTGATACAGGGTCTCTTTGTAGCCACACCTGGCCTGGAACTCACTATGTAGACCAGGCTGGCCTTGGCAGCAAGTGCTCTTAACCCCTGAGCCATCTCCATCTCCAGTTTTTCCTTTCAACATAAGATCCTTAAAGCTCGCCTGGCTGGGGTTGGAGTATAGCTCAGTAATAGAGTACTTGCTAAATAAAAAGCCCTGTATACTATCTCATCTCTAGCATTGGAAAGGAAAATCATTTAGCTGAATCATTGACGTAAATAAAAACAGATAGAAAAAGTATCTTTTGTCCTTGATAGTATCTTTGAATTTAGTTAGCAATTCTGTATCATGGACTTGCAGGAATTCTGTATCGTAACATCAGAAGCTTCCAAAAAATTTATGTTATATAATTCTTGAGGGAGAACTAAAATGCTAACATTACAGGATTTGTGATTTTATGTTAGAATGCAACTTAGAAGATTTGGGATTTTATTCCCTAGTAGAGGCTTTTCCTAGAATTCTCACTGGATCCAGTCTCTGAAGGCTAGGGAAGATGTTTTCCATGAGATCACTCTTGGACTGCTTCTCCTTGTAGTAAGGAGTAAATAGAGGAGCATTAAATTAAGGTTTTCTTATGAAAAATAGCAGTGAAGCAGGGTGGGTTTTTCTTACTAGTTTCTTGTATTATGGGGTGACTAAATGCTAAACAGACCTGAAAAGGTGAAATAATTTGGATACTAGGTACCAGTCTGGAGGATGGAGGACCAGACCTTTCTTAGTAGTTTAAATCATCATTTGCAATTTAGTACTGAGTTCTAAAAAATATTTTGATGACAAAGAGTTTTAGTATTAAATATGCAGCCCTTTCTCCCATACTAAGTTTGAGTTCTCCCAATTTGATTGTGTCTGAGGATAAAATCTTAGACTGCTACTAGAACTTTTAAAAGATCCTGCTTTCAAAATTTTCTTGTGATCAGTGTATTGGGAAGTTGACTGCTTTGAGACCATTGAATTTAAAATTAATGGCTAAGTTATAGAAACTGAGGAGTTTTATGTTTTGGAAATTCTATTTTTATACATAGTAAGCCTTACATTCTCTTTTCAGAATAAAGTATGGCATTTCCTGCATAGGTGTCATTTTTAGTAGAACGATTTGAGAGTGAAGGTAGTATGAAGTCATTTACATTTTTCGTTAAGGATAAACATACTAACCTTTGAGAGTATAGCTTTTGTACTGAACAGCTTTTAGAGTTTTGTGTGAATTTTCAGGCATCTGTGGGAGGAATGTGAAAGAAAGAAATTACTGCTTATGGCAGAAACATGGAGGTTAGTTAATTTTGAAACATCTTCTATTTAGTTGTCTAGAATTTTGCCTTCAAATCAGAGTGGCAGCCTTCTAACTAAAAGGAAAGCATTTAATTTCTATGCCTTTAATTTCCTGTCCAGTTTTACCCCCACCAGACTGCTTTCTTTACTGGTCACTAGAGAGTTTGAACTGTTAGAAATTTCTGTGATATAAATAGCATTAATAGTCTTCCAGGGCAGAGGTAGGAAGAGACTGGGGTGTGTGTGTGTGGGGGGTGTGGTCATTTACCTCTTGCCTTCATTGATACTTGAGAGATCCCAGAACCTTTTTAACTTTATTGAAATTCTAAGGAACTCTGGTTTATGTGGCTTATATTGATTTATATAGAAATTGAAACTAGGAAATTTAAGAATACTTACAATTAGTTTTCAAAAGTAACCCCATTAAAGTTAAATTGCGTTTTTTAAATGAAAAATACCTATTTTCTAGAACGTTTTAAGAACATGAAGCCAGGTGGCGTAGCTCCTACCTGTAATCCCAGCACTTGGGAGATGGAGGCAGGAAAATTGCTGTGAGTTGAGGATTAGACAAGGCTATACATAGCAGTTCCAGACCAACCTGGGCTTCAGAGTGAGATCCTGTCAAAACAAAACAAAACCTCTTAAGAGTACCATCCTTCATAGTCCCCCAGATCTCCATACTGTCTGTTTTAATAGAATATGATGGGCTTCTGCATTCACAACATGCAGAAATTGAAAACCTTTTGAAATCTCTGAGAGTAAAGGTAAAGATAATTTGGGAGGCGCATGGGGATTGAACCTAGTTTTCCAGGCAAATGTGTTACTACTGAGCTACATCCCCAGCCCTAGAAACTATTTTTGTTGTTGTTATCATTGTAGCTTCAAAGTATTTTGAAAGTAGAACTGCAGAGAGAGAGCTCAGCAGTTAAGAGCACTGGCTGCTCTTGCAGAAGACCCGGATTCAGTTCTCAGCACTCACATGGCAGTTAACAGCCTTCCATAACTCTAGTAACAAGGGATCTAACACCCCTTCTGACCTCCACAGGCATTGCACAACACAGGTGCACCTACCTACATGCAAGCAATACATTCATACACATACAATGAAAAATAAAATATTAAAAATATTTTGAAAATAATTTTGACCTTTACAAGTCTTCTAGGTCATTGGGACCCAAGTTCTCCATGGACCAGATTATTGCTATCCTATTCCATGCACAAAAGTGTGAAGCTCCCTCCACTCTGTGTTTGTACTGGGAATTGAACCCTAAGTCCAGGGCCTTCTAACACTGTGCTATGTGTGACATCTCTAGCTTTTCTTCTTTTATTAGTGCCAAGTTGATAAAATAAGACATAATATTCAGTGTTTCTTAACTAGTTCTATAAGTATATCTTCAATTTGGTCTAATTTGGGTTAATTCCTCTTTTGGAAAAAAATCCATTTTAAATTCTGAAGGCCAACTATACAGTATGTACATATTAGGTTTATAAACCATCATTTGCCTTTATCTGATAATCTATTTTGAGAAATGAGTATATATAGTTTCTGAACAATGAACTCTTTGTATGTCACTAATACCTTTTTAAAATTTTTTTTTATTTTTAATTTTTTGGTCTTTTTGAGACAGGGTCTGTAGCACCAGCTGGCCTGGAACTCACTTTGTAGGCCAGGCTGGCCTTGAACTCAGAGATCTGCCTGCCTCTGCCTCCCCAGTGCTGGGACTAAAGGTGTGCGCCACCATGCCCAGCCACTAATACCTTTTCTAAAAAAATTAGTTTATGTGTGTGAGCCTTTTGCCTTCATATATGAAAGCGCACCACATGTGTGCAGTGCCCTCTGAAGCCAGAAGAGGGCATTGGATCCTCTGGAACTGGAGTTAGAGATGATTATTAGCTGCCGTGTGGGTGCTGGGAACTGAACCCCTGGGTCTTCTGTAAGAGCACCCAGTGCTCTTAGCCAGTCCCAGTAATATCTTTTCTCAAAGCCCCTTATTGGACCAGCCTGCATTGGTTGTATAAGTAAATATTTGAGTTTTGTGTTATAATTACTTCCTAGCATTACTACTTTCTGGTTTCTCCCTAAAATTAGTATAATTCTGAAGAGAATTTTTATAAGATTTTGTATATTTTCCTTTTTATATTTTTAATTTTGCTTTTCCTAGTTGTTTTAAAATTTTATTTCTGCCGAGTGTGGTGGTATAAGCTTTTAATCCCAGCACTTGGAAGGCAGAGGCAGGCGGATCTTTGTAAGTTCGAGGCCAGCCTGGTCTACATAGTGAGTTCCAGGACAGCTGGGGCTACAAGGAGACCATGTCTCAAGAAAGACAAAAAAAAACATATTTCTATGTTGCTTTTCCTAGTTTTAAAAATTTATTTCTATGTGTGTTTTTGTGTTGTTTTCTTTTTTCTGTTTGAGTTTAAACCTTGTCATTCTAAGTCTTTTTTTTTCTTTTCTTTGTAGTGTCCAGGGTATGGATTGTGAACAAGTTGGTTTTGTTTCACGTGTTCATTTGTAAGTTTGGTTCTTTGATGCCTTAAACATTGATATTATAAATCCATGCTGTTCAGTAGAATATATAATACCAGCCATATATGCAATTTAAAATTTTGTGAGGTATAGTGTTTGCTTAAAAAGTAAGAAACAGGTGAAATTAATTTTATATACATTATTTTTATTTTTTATGTGTATGAGTGTTTTGCCTGCATGTATGTAACTGCACCTGTGTTGTGTAGAGCCTGAGGAGGCCAGAAGAGGGTGTCACATCCCATGGAACTGGAGCCCCAGTTTTATATATTTTTTTGCCTTGCCTTCCCTTCCCTTCTATTATTGAGCTACCCCCACCCCCCCTTTTATTTTGACACAGGATTTCATTGTGTAGCCCAGGTTGGCCTGGAACTTGCTATGTAGACCAGGCTTGCCTTAAACTCACAGAGATCCACTTACCTCTGCCTCCCAAGTGCTGTGATTAAAGGTATGTGTCCCCACACCTGGCTTCATCCTCGCTTTCTAAACACTTAACTAGTCTTGTGACCATGAATTAAAAAGTCATTTTATCTGTAAAATTCTGTCTGGGTTCTGGTGAGTTTTGGTTCGAAATGCTAGGGAGAAGGGTTTCTATGAGGTTAGCAGGGTTAGATTTATTTAATTCCTAAGTTTGTCAAGTTTAGTATTGGACTCCAATAGGCACCAAGAGGCATCAAGTGAAAGGGTGTGATCATGATAGTTCTACCATGGTGTGCTTAGGTGGCATGCATTATGCTAAGTGCTTTACAGCATGAACTCATTTAATTCTCAGAGCAACCAGTAAAGTAGATTCTATTACTATTAGTACCCTCATTTTACAGACGTGGATGTTAGGCCACAGAGAAGCTAAATAGCTTGCCATAAGGTCACAGAGCTAATGGAAATAGAATCACGACTTGATCTCTTTAGTGTATGACTCTGGAAATGGACTTTGACTTACACATTCATTGAGATAGTGTATTGTGTTGATCAGTTCATTATGGAGTGTATTTTTGTTTTCTACTTCCATGCATGCTTCCCATAAAAGTGTAAGTTAACTAATCCCGCTCTAACAGTGTTGGTCATATTGATAGGTGTACATGCCCCAGCTACTACAAATTCTTTAAGAAGTTGATTTAGATCAGTAAACTTGACATTAGTGGGACTTTAAAAGTAGCTAGGGTTTAGTTTTCATATGTATGTAAGTACATTGTATATCTGCAAAGTCATATAAAAAGCAGGAAAACAAATGAGATTATGATTTAAAAATTCAGATTATCAAGCCAGGAGTGGTGGCGCACACCTTTAGTCCCAGCACTCAGGAGGCAGAGGCAGGCAGATCTCTGTGAGTTTAAGGCCAGCCTGGTCTACATAGTTCCAGGCCAGCTGGTGCTACAGGGAGACCCTGTTTCAAAAAGACCAAAAAAAGTTCAGATTATCATGTCTAATACTCTCCTTATTTCAGAGGCAGAAAAGACCAGGAAAGTTTAAATAACTTAAAGGTATTTCCTCTGTTCTAAGACTCTTAGTTAGGACCCTTGGTTATAAGTAGACGCCACCTAAGGTAGTAAAAGGGGAGACTTTATTCCAAGAATGTAAGGGTGTCTCTCAAGCCAAGGGGAGTCATAAAACTGGATCTGGGGATTGGAAAATGAAGGTGTTAAAGAGCATTCCCTATCTCGTCTTGGCTTTCTTAGTTGACTGCCTTTCTGTGATAATTAGTCCACATGGCAGACACAGGTAGGTGCTTATAGCTGTTCCTTTACATATTTTAATTCTAGTCATAATGTGGTCAGGGCACTTCTCTCTTTCTCTTGTCTCCTGTCTTTCCAAAATTTTTGACAAAACAGTTCTCATCTTTTGAGTTCTATCTTTTTGAGATAGGATCTCCCAGCTGGCCTGGAATTCTCTATGTAGACCAGGCTGGCTTGGATTACTTTTTTTTTTGAGACAGGTTCTCAAACTGTAGGCCAGGATAGCTTGGAATTTATGGTAGTCCTCCTGCCTCAGCCTTCTGAGTAGCTGGAATTATGACATAATCTACCGTAGTTGGATCTAGATTACCTTTTTTTGAGAAAGTATAACATCTCCTGAAAGAGAATCCTAAGTTTGAGGCCAGCTTAGAGTGCATAGCCTGCCTCAAAAACACCAAAAGAACCAACCACCCCTCTTGCCCCCCCCAAAGGAAAGTATAATGCCTCCTTTATTTTTGGTGCATAGGGATTGAACCCAGGGCCTTAACATACTAAGCATGTGCTCTATCACTGAGTTGTATCCATGGTTCATGTACCTCTCTGTCCGTCCATCCATCCATCCATCCATCCATGGTTCATGTACCTCCATTCATTCATTTATGCATTCATTTAGGTTTTTTGTGATAGGGTCTCTTTCTCTGTAGCCCCAGCTGGCCTGGAATTTGCTATATAGACCAGGGTGGCCTCAGTCTCATAGAGATCTGCCTGCCCCTGCCTCCTGAGTGCTGGGATTAAAGGTGTGCCTTACCATGTCTACCCCACCTCATACATTTCCTTTTAAAATTTTCATTCAGATAGAATGTTTTCCATGACAGTGTTAGTAGTTTGAAACCTTTCTAAATAGCAGTAACTGTTGAATGCAGTGAATCACTGTTCTTTTTTTCTTTGATTTTTTTTTTTTTGGTCTTTTTGAGACAGGGTCTCCCTGTAACCCCAGCCAACCGGGAACTCACTATGTAGACCAGGTTAGCCTTGAGTTCACAGAGATGCCCACCACACTTGGCTTTTTCTTTAATTTTTTTAAGGTTTATTTTTATGTGTATGAGTGCTTTGCCTACATGTATGTTTTTATTTATTTCTTTATTTTTTAAAACTTAAAAAAATTTAAAAAAATTTTAAATTTTATGTGTATGTGTGTATTGCCTGCATGTAGGTAAGTGCACCTGTGTCGTTCAGTGCCCGTGGAGGTCAGAAGAGGCCGCTGGATCCCGTGGAACTGGAGTTATGGACAGTTGTTAGCTGCCATGTGGGTGCTGGGATTCGAACCTGGATCTTCTGCAAGAACCACTAGTGTTCTTAACCTCTGAGCCATCTCTCCAGTCCGCCTGCATGTATGTTAAATGTACCACATGTGTGCAGTGTCCTGGGAGGCCAGAAGAGGGCGTCAGATTCTCTGGAACTGAAGTTACAGATGGCTGTGAGCTGCCATATGGCGCTGCGCTGTGAATTGAACCCAGGCCTTCTGGAAGAGCAACAAGTGCTCCTATTCACTGAGCCATCTCTCCAGCCCTAATCAAAAAAATTTTTTATTTTATGTGTATGAGTATATTGCCTGCATGTATGTAAATGCATCCATGTGGTGCAGTGCATGCAGAGGTCAGAAGTAGACATTGGATCCCCTAGACTAGACTTACAGATGGTTGTTAGCTGCCATTTGGGTGTTGGGATTCGAACCCAGCTCTTCTGCAAGAGCAGCCAGTGATCTTAACTGCTGAGCCATCTCCAGCCCCCAGCCCTAATTTCTTTTTTTTTAAAACAATGTTGGGGATTGAGTTCAGGGCTTTGTGCATGGTAGGCAAGTGCTCTGCCATGCTCCATTCCCACTCCTTAGAGAGGATCACTTTGACGTGAAATAAAATACAATAATTTAGGTAATATCAGAATATCAGGTTAATGAAATAGAAAACAGTCTATTAATATGTGAATAGAAATGTCTAGGCTTCTATTAAATTTTCGTTTAGTGTGACTGGTACATCTCGATAAACTAGAGTGATAATTGGTGACCATAACCCTGTAAAAACAATGAAATTCCAAATTTTTCATCCAGTTTAATTTGTTATGGTTTTTTCTGTCTTTTTTGAATCAGGGTCACATTGTAGCCCCAGCTGTCCTGGAATTTACTATGTAGACCAGGCTGGCCTTGAACTCACAAAGATCCACCTGCTTCTGCCTCCCAAGTGCTGGGATTAAAGGCGTGCACCACCACGCCCGGCCAATTTGTTATGGTTTTTACTTGATAATTAATTTTGGAAAATTGATAGTGTGGTATTGGTTGTCTTCTACTAACCTGGATGTTTTGTTACCCAGACATTACAATTGGAGGTTACTTTTGTTCCCAGTATGTTCATTGACCTTATAGAACTTGGAAAATTCTCAACTAGTTAACTTTATCTTTAAAAATGATTCAGAGAAGATAAAATTGATAAGTTATGTTAATTCTACTTTGAGATAAGGTCTCAGTAAGTAGTCTAGGTTTGCCCCAAACCCTTTGTGTAACTAGGCTGTCCTTAAACTCAGAATCTGTCTGTCTCAGCTTCCAGAATGCTGGGATTTTAGGTGTGCACCACCACCCTTAGTCCACTTACTTTAATCTTGGATGTTTTAGTAAAATATTTCTCATAAATATTGATTACATTGTCTAGAATATTTTTCCAACATAAGTACCCGCTTGTATCCTATCCTTCACAAATAAAATTCCTTTGAGATGAGGTCTTGCTATACTGCCCAGGTTGGTCCTAAACTTTAGGGCTCAAGTGATTTTCCTACCTCAATCTCCTGAATAGCTAGGACTACAGTTATACACTAAAACACCTGGTTAAAATTGTATAAGTTTTACATGCATGAGTGTTTTGTTTGCATGTATGTGCATCATGTGCATGCAGTGCCTGCGGAGGCCAGAGGAGGACAGCAAATCTCCCTGGTACTGGAGTTACAGGTGGTTGTGAGTCACCCCTTGCAGAGGAACTGAATCCTCTGCAAGAGCAGTAGCTGCTCTTAACCCCTTAGCCACCTCTCCATCCCCCAAATTGTATAATTTTAAAATAATGGCATGTAAAATAAATATTTTGATCTTCATCTGGCACACATACACATACACATTTTGTTGTATTAGATTACTGAGCATTTAGTGTTGTAGGATCAATAGGACTTAAAGATGGGTTAGAACTGGGCATAGTGGCTTATGCTTATAATTGCAGCACTCAGGAGACTGAAGCAAAAGAATTTCTGTGAGTTCCAGGCCAGCCTGGGCTATAG